TACTCGAGCATTGAGATGAGAGATGATGAATGATACTCGAGTAGATGACGATAGTTTAATGTCAAAGAGGCGTCACAAGCACACAAGCATTAAGGCGGAGGGTTATACTCTGTGCAGGAGATTGAAATAAAGAAATCCTATTGGTTCTGTGGCTAATCCTTGTGCATCTCTTATATTTCACAGCCTCGAGACAACCGTCTAGGTTTGTTTGGATGATGTTGGGAAAGATTGCCGTACCTGACAGGAGAAGGAGATCCACATGATCAAATGTACCGTTGATCATACTCAGTTATACGCCCAAGTTGAAGGTGGTACCCAAGTCAATCTGGATCGATTAGGAAAGCCGACCCCTTCGTCATACCTCTCTCAATTTACCAAAAGATATCGTAAACCGGCCGGAATACAAAACCACCTGCACATCCAATACATCAAAAGTCGAAGACCAACTGGCACAAGCTGGCGTCTACGAGTGAGTCGTCCATAGCTAACTAAGGTAGCTACTTAGCTTATTCTAAGTCCTCGTTGACTTATCTAATATAAACCCACGTAGCTTCAAGCTAATCACGGAAACTACTTCGACTAGGTACTCAGACTACATCGAGTACTGCTATCTTCTATTGCCTTTCCTTTCCTTTCCTTCCATTTGAGTGCCTTCTACCTATCGTTCGATTCATCAAAATCAATTTATGCTTATGCAATGTAACTTGATTCTCTTCCCTTTGCATTAATCGAACTCTTCAATTTTCCCACACTCTTTTACACAACGATCCCCGGTTGTTGCTCGAGCAAAGTAAAGTTTCAGGCGTCATCGTATTCATGCGACTATAGTTCACCACTTCATAAATAGGTATTAATTGTTTGTCTTCTCGATTTTCGCTCATTACCTTCAAAATGCAGTCATTTACTGACAAGATGCATTTTACTTTACCAGATTTCATGTCGTCTCCAGGGAAAAAGAGTGACAGCCAACGGCCTCGTCCATTGCAGCTTTCCAAGTCATTTTCAAATCAAGAACCACCTTCTAGTCCGGATCGTCTATCCCGTCCTCTCCGAGCAAACACCATACAGAACGGTACTGTCCCGTCGATACTGATGTCGGACACGGCAAAGTTGGGGGAAAACAGGCGACCTGGAACACAATCAAATATTTTTGAGAAAACCTCCGAGGATGAAGGGGAGGGCGGGGAAATGACTGAGGCGTCTGGAAAGTTACCCGTGGATTTCGATGAACTTCCTATAGAGCTTGTGAGCTTAGCAGATAGGTCAGTTGAATCTTTAGCATGAAGCAACCAACACGCTCGATTAACATTCGCTGTAGTTTCATTGATTCTCTATCTGCAAAGATTCATCCCACCCCTCCTTCAGTCGACAAATTATCGGGGCTTTTCCAAGACTTCTATGCCGTTGCTGCCAATCACATCAACACTCACATCTCCGCATTATCCTCCCGACAACATCGCGCAAGCTCTCCAGCGCCGCCAGCCTCATCATTATCGGTAACGGCGAGCAAGATCAGAGCGAAAGCTACTTCCATGAACAAGGAACGTCCCAAAGTAATAGAAAGAAAATCATCTGAACAACAGATGTTAACTAGCGAGGAAATCAACGAGCGAAAACGTGCTAGGAAAGCGCTTGAACATAAACGTGTTGCGTTAGAAGAAGCAATGGAAAGGAGAGTTTGTGAAGGCATATATGATAGGATATGGCGACACAGGAGTTCACAAGATGAAGCTCAGGACGAGAAGCTCCGATCGAAAACTGCCGCTTTGTCAGTGGTTGGGATAGGGTTAGTAGATCTAGGAGTTGATTTGGGCATAGAATCGAGTGAAGAGCCAGATGCGGCTGAAAAACGAGAACTAGAGGTTCGAGAGTGGCTAGAAGGTGCCAGAGGAGAGTTGATTGCGATGAACGACGAAAGATATCCTCTTGGGAAACTTAACCACTTAAAGGCGGCCCATAAAGGTATTGTTGATACCTTATCACACTTTCATCCATCTTCATCGGCAGATGAGATTATGCCTATGCTCATCTTTACCCTTATAACATCTCGACCAGAAGGGATGAATGTTATAAGCAACCTTTACTTTATACAGCGATTTAGGTGCGAAACGAAGATTGATGGGGAAGCTGCTTATTGCTTAACAAACTTAGAAGCTGCGATTTCTTTCCTTGAAACTGTAGATCTTGCAAGTTTGAGGGCAGACGAAATTCCATCAGGGCCAATCAAAATCAGTAGTCGACCCAGCACACCAAAAACAGACAAAATTGATTCTTTGACAGTTGGTATCACACCTACAGGTCTCTCAGCTCCGGCAACCGTTTCGGCAACCCCAAGTCCTTCTGTGTCTAAACCTACGAACTCACCCGTGTCCACACTTCGGCCTACGATTCAAACAGCGGACCGAAGGCTTAGTGATTTGTTTCAGCCACCTGCGGCTTTCGGGGCCGCTGGAGATGCAATATTTGATACCGCTGATCAGAGTTTCAAGAGTATTGGGAACAGTTTGGAAGGTAGCTATAAATTCCTACTTGGAAAGCTAAAAGAGCGCGACTCCAAAGGCCAAGCTTCAGAAATCGCTATACCAAAAACGCTGGATGATGCCCGAAAGCTTATCAGTACACCCCCACCAGAAGATGACGGCTCTGTAAGTGGTGGAAGCACTCCTCAAAGCCCAACTGTTAAGGAACATAAGGATGGATCTAGTGCAGAGACGAAGCCCGAGGGACGTAGCCGAAGTGATTCGGCTCAAAGAATTGATGATAGAGTTCTCAGCTTCATTGGTGGTCGCAAAATGACTAGAGAAAGAAGCGCGGATAGTAATCGAAGTGGTGGCAGCTCTAGCAAAAGGGTTGCATTTGTCCAAGAAGAAAATGGGGAGAAAGGGACGCCCTCTCCACAGGCTCCGGCTGGCAACCCAGCCATTGTTGAATCAATGCGAAATCTCGGCAACTCACTCAATCCGATGAACAGGATTGCTGGGATGGGTATGATGCGTGGTTTTGGACGGGTAACAACTCCGACAACACCCACCCCGACTAGATCAACCGTACCGGATGGAGGGACTGCTGAGTTGACTACTGTATGTATCATGTATCCTGTACAATCTATACTTACTAAATTTGATAGACATTCCCTGATTTAGCAACGTCCCTACCATCTAAAGAGACACCCAAAATCGCGCCACCGAACAAACGATTCATGGAACTTCAAAATCCAGGGGATCTCAAAATTAGCGAGGTGATGGAGTTATTGAGAGATTATAGAAGATTAGCAGGAGCTTTAAAGGATCTAGGGGCTGTCTAGGTGGTATCACCATAATTTTCTTTGATTATTTTGTCGTTTACATATCCTCGGATACCACGTTCCTTAAATTTTTCCTTTGTCTTATTTTCCATTCCATGGGCTGCTATTAGGATATTGGGAATATGTTAGAATGTTGTTAACTGGGGCGTGGATATGGGAAACATAGAATTGGATGGGTGTATGGTACGGGATTTGAATTGGGAGTCTCTGACGAGTGGGGAACGTCTGATTTTGAAACTCGACGTGGAAGTGAGCTAAACTCGGCCTGACAAAACCCATCTATACGCGTGGGTTTCAGTTTGAAATTCAATGGACCGAGAGAGGATGGGCTATATCGTCACATATTTAGAGGAAGAGTAAGAGTTAGACACACGGTATTGGTTTAAAGGATTTGGAGAGGTTGAATTTGTTTGACATTATGGATGTAGTAGACAACAGAAGATCGGGAGACATCAGTGAAGGTGAGTACTCGAGTACACTCTATGTGATGAAATAGAAAATTATCATTGTGAGATTGAAAATGAGAAGAATTTCAAAGTTATCTGTTTGTAATTATTGTGATGCGTCGATGTGATTTTGACACTATGACTGGACAGTGAGATGGATTTTATTGGGAATCGGAATTCTTGTTTTTCTAGTTGTTGTATGCTTATTTTGTGTTGTGTAGTAGGATTTATTTCGGCTTTTAACAAGAGTGGAAAGGGGGGTAAGCTAGCTAGCGAGAATCGAGATGAGGACTTATGTTTGGGCACTCGTGCTAGTTGGGTATATACATAGTTGTATGAGTATAAAGAATATAAAGAATATAAAGAATATATATATATTTATAATACTATACTTTTATTATTATGATATATTTTCTTAATTATATAACAATATTAAATAATTTAATTGATATTTATTAAAAACAATAATAACATTATATCAGATGATAATCTAGCAATTTTATTAGATAATAATGAAATATAATATAATGACTATAAATATCAGATGATATATTTTTAAATCGAATTATAACATATTAGATGAAGAAATCGTTTTGAACAAAAATGTCTGTATGACACGCTATAATTCACTCCTCTTACTCACCCCTCTCCCCAATTTCTCCCAGCACTAACGAGTTACAATGTACAAATCAGAACTCCCCTCCTCTCCTCTCCCCAAATCTAATCTTCAGCAACATAAAAATATAATTTAAAGTACAGATAAATGCAATATGTATATGGATGCTTAATTATGAATATTAAACCATTGGCTATCAAGTAACATTATCGAGATAATCATTACAGAACAGTGGAGAGAAGCACGGAGATTTAAATTCACGAGTAGGGTGTTATTATTCTTATTCATGGTATAAAGTGGATTAATGGATTGTGGCGATGTACACAGCACCTGCATATCTTCTCCATTGTCGATATCAAAAGAGCCTCCTTTTCTCCCAATCCACTTTTCCTGGAGTGGTATTTATTTCCTCGTCTTGTGCCATCCAAATGACTTAACAGTCTGTATTAGCAATTCATTCATTCATCTATTCGTCCGTCGATTCCTCCTAGGATGAACTAATCAGTTCTACTTCTTCCCTCCGTCGCAAAATGGTATCATCAAATAATCAAACACAAAAATGATATACAAAAAATCCACACTCAAAGTAAACAAACAACGGCACCCCTCCTAAGTCCCTAGGTTTTAGTGAACGTTAAAGCGCATCACCTCTCCTCGCATCCTCACTATTTAATCCTCTTACCCCATCTCGATCCCTTCCATATCCCGGATGCCCCAAAACTGGAGCCATGTTTTGGTTCTGGAAATGTTGCATATTCTGCAACTCGATGTGATTGCGCTCATTCATCACTTCCTCTTCTTTCTTCCTCCTTGCTCTTTCCCTCTCTCGAGCCTTAAGTCTTTCGGCCATACTGCCTCCTCCTTGACCGAAACTGCTCTGGCCGAAACTTCCCTTTCGATCCATAGGCCACTGATCAATATTAGGGCTCCTCATATTTGCGTCTGTAGATGCTGTGGCCGGACTACTATATGGTGAGGAATAAGGAGACAGGTACACCTTCTCAGCCATGGGAGTTATGGGACTGTCTTCAATCGGCGTCATGACAGCAGGCCCATTGAAATTTCCCCCATGAGGTTGTTGTTGGCCCCAATAATTCGGCTGTAGAGGTTTTTGGGAATTAGGACTATCAAAGAATCCACCTGATCCGGATGTCATATTAGAGACTGCACTATCTACTTCATTTACAGGAATATGGCCGCCGATTCCATCGACGTCGTGTGCGTTTTTCCAAGCCGCATAGCCGGTATCGAGTTGATGTTGACGAAGAATGCGGCGACGGCGACGGCGGCCATTGAATACGATGCAGAACCCGGTGATGAAGAGGGCGAAGACAATTATTCCTACTGCGACTCCGATTCGTGCATTGAGAGAGAGGCCGGAATAGGTTTGACCGGGTACGGCGGTGGGAGTGGGAGATGTCATATTTAGTTGAGTTGTGGAAAAGGGCGAACCTTGGAAGGATAATGTTGAGCCTGGTGCGGGTTGTTGATCACAGGCTCCATAGAGGAGAGTGTAAAAATTGTTCAGATAATATGTCGCTGTCAAGATCTCGAGACAGTTCTGACATTCGGCGATTTGATTCGTAGCGATGTCTGAACAATAGCCATATTCAGTTTGGGCATCTGTCGTTAAATTTCCGTATTCGATGGCATCCTTCATTGGAGCACACGATAGAGACGTTATACATGGCGTGTCTTCCACATCTGTATTATTTGGGAAGCCGAAGAGACACCAACTCATTGCATATCTCAAATTATCTATGTAGCCATGTTAGTCATACTTCAACACATATATTTGAGGAAAGAACAACGAACATAAACCCCATTCCAAATCCGTCTCATTCGTTGAAGGATCAACAAAAGTACTCGTCAATTGACATCCCACGCAACCAGAGTATGTTGTTCCAATCAAACTTGTATAGTCCGTATTCTGACACACGATATCATTCTCTCCTGAGGTTCCTCCTAAAACATTGCCGCATTTCGATGCACATGGTGAACCCGGTAGAGCTTTCAATGCACTCGCGGATTGTGTGAAGGATGTGATGAGGAAGAGGCTCGGAACCAATATTGAAGACCGCATGTTGCAGATATGTTATTATTATATATTGGGGAGTAACAGGAAAGAGGAATTCGTGGCGGGTGGTGTATAAATTATTGAACCTTCGTCATTCGCATCAATCCTTATCGTTTTCTATCTCGTCAAGGATCTTTCTTGTGTATCGTAAGGTGGAGTAGTAATAAATAATAGTCTGATATTCGATCTCGACCAGCAAGATCTATCTCATCCAAATATTTCTATGATATAGGAGGTAGGTATTGAAGGTTGATTGATCCTCTATCGAACCGTCATAAAGATATTAAAAAAGGAAGTATTCGTCCCACAACATTCAACCGACTCATAGACTTCATGAATAAGTTTGTGTTGCGGGAATTTAGCATTCTTGTATGACTTGAAAAATTGAGGTGATAGTGATAGTGGATTATGTGTGTGATAAGAAATGCAGTTGTGCTTCTACTAGGTAGGTAATTGAGAAAGGTTCTCCGCAACAGCAACAGCAACAGCATCACATCCACTTCCTTCCCGGTGCATCGATCACATAAGAGTCTGGCGGTTGAATAGAAGGCCAAGGTAAGGTACAAGGCACCCATGCAGACATGGTTACTGACCATATGTATGAACATGGGTATATCTTCATCTTATCATCATGATTGGAGAGCTTCGACATTTTTTCACCATTTCCCTTCTTTCCCATCACTCAATCACGTCGTCACATTTGATGATTGGTCGAATAAAGAAAAATAATTGGTCGTATGCAGAAAAGAAAAAGCTGGGGTCCAAAGAAATTGACAGGGGAGTTCTTTCCTTGTTTGATCAAATCAGTACGAAGCATATGCCGTATTCCTGATGTTCCTGATGTTCCTCAATTTGTGGCGGAATATGCAGATGGCCGTTGACCTATTGTTGTGATCATGGAATCCATTGGATGACTTGGGTGATTTGGATCTTCTATTTGCTTTCCTTTTACTTAAGAAAAAGGCATAGCCAACATTAAAAAGACGGTTGAATTTGACAATACCTCTCTTGGGGTCCGAGATCCCGATTTGAAGCATGGCTGTGCATTTATTGATGGATTGATGGATTGATGGATTGTTGTAGCAAGCAAGTACTGTGTCTACCTTCCTACCTACCTACTCTGTACCTACCTATGTTCGGTCAGATGTTCGAAACACCAACGTTTGGTGACACACTTGAGAGTGGCTTGCTGTATGTTATTTGCTTCCACTTTTCCAACCGTCGGCGTTTGAGAAGAGTACTTCGTAATCGATTCGATGCTCTCATCGCCACCTACCCTTTTGGAAATGTTATCACATATTCAATAATTCAGCTCGGGGAGAAAGAACTCCAGACCCTTTTTTCTCTCAATATCGACATTTACATTATACCCACCTTGGTATGGTCCACATGATCTACGTGATTCAATTTGATCCAATCAATCTTCTTGTTGCCCAATATTCGCTTATTTCGCTTCTACCTGTTCTTCAAACTTTATTTATTTTAATTGGCTCGAGATTAGTTTCCGGTGCGGGCCGGTTGAAGTATTGTCTAGTTGTTGGTGTTGTGGATAAGATAAGATGAATCAGTAGAGGGGAGGGCGACAGGGAAAGGGAAAAAGGAAATGTAAAGGAAAGTCCACCAGTCGGCCCCCAATTTCACCTCGCTTTCAACTTTATTCCTCATCAGCCCAGTCCAGCTCAGCTTACCTGTCGCATGTTGGAATAAATCTATTGCGCCTCTCGTGATAGATCTATCCGTTCCCATTCCCGCTGCAAAACAATCCAACAATATCTTTTTCGACCCCATAGGACATAGTAGCACAACAGCATAACAGTTCAGGATTCGTATCAAGTTGAAATTTACCTTATTATTAGTATCATGGATCGAACACAAGCCACGCAACTGTTGTAAATATCAATCTACGTGCCGGAGGTCGTCAATCGTCAAAACCTTCAGGTCTTTCAACTCATCCGATTCAATTGATCCGAGGTAAAATGTCACCTCGTCCGTCAAACATACTTCGTGCACCAATAGCGCTTATTTTCTCAATGTGAGGTGACACTGAAGCCAAGTCTTTCGCCCCCCGTAAGACTCAGTACACCCGAACCGCATTGCTTTCCTGGGGCCTCTGTCCGTTCTGTGAAACCACATACTTCCCCTCGCAAACCTTTTTCATGCCACGGCGCTACAACCAAACTCTCGGGTTCTCACCTCGGATTGTACAACACATGTACAGACAATTAACCCCACTACCAGAACTCAATTCATCCAGTCGTATCAACCACATTCGATCTAATGCAACATCAATCTTTCACCCCCAGATCGGCATTTACTTGTTCATTATACTCCGTAGCTTTTTGGGTATGTACTACAAGGATCTACGCCAAAACGTCGTTAGTATTTCGGCAGTGTTCTTAAGCCTGTAGCTATGTGGGCACATGATCTAAGCGCCTTGTGTTCTGCACCCATCACCACAGAGAGGAGCAGTCCGTCTTACGCGTTTTGTGCTTCTATTTCTCATGACTAGGTAAACATTGTGAATCGGTACTTTCGACAACGTCATTCAGGAGCTAACCGCTTGGGAATGAGGCATTTGTGCTTGAGAAACCTTACCATTTCACCCACATGCCATGCAGCCATGTAGACATCACCAAAAGCATGTCAAGTTTGAAAATGGTCATTATCGTTGACTTGATTGCTCAATACATGGTTTTCATTTCCGCTTCTTGCTTTTGAGTTCTGCATGATGGTATCTACCGCATGTTCCAATCAATTCTTTCCATCTTAAAGTGTATATGCTCATTACCTACTGCTTAGCCAGTAAAGACTGTAGTTAGTCCGGGTATTGTGTAATTATTTATGGTTTGGTAAATATTGATCAGAATCCCCGGGTCGGTTGCCGAGTATGCCCCTGGGAATAGTACTCCAGTGGGGTTCTTTGAGCCAGACCCAGTCACACGTAGTTGAAAACAAGACAGGTAGAGTTGAGCGCCTCCTACAGAACTTGCTACATGCAAAGCGATGACTTCTGCGCGCAGCAGGTAGTCACCAGGTGCTAGTGTTGATGGAATGATGAAAGAACGTTTTCCACAGTTGGCGTTTAAGGTTTGCTGCATATGTGTGTTAACCTCATACTTTGGTTAGGTACTTCCAAGTTAGAAAGAAGCCGAGAGATTTGACTTGGGTTAGAGAAAGGGAAAACATGCCGAACCCCACCACTGGCGAGACACATCGTATCCCTCTTGGTCTACTTTAAACCACGAACCGGCGCCAGTATCGTTCGCCGCATTCGAGACCTTGGACATGTACAGAATGACTGGCCCATAATGAGCGCCCCCAATGGCTTCATTAGCACATGATCGATCTCTTGGTTGTTGATGCATCTCTACGGTTACATTCCCTCCAGCTTATTGTATGTCAGGTTAAGCAAGGTCTTCGCGATTTAGATTGACGTACCTGCAACTGAACATACCCCGGATACTCCAACTGTACCCCCAACATTGCACCTGTTCATATACTCAGTTGGCAGAAATATCTTTAGAATGCTACAAAGAATGGTAAGAATATATACCGCAAATCAGTCGATGTTAGATCGGTGACAGGACTATTAGTAGGAGGCAGGCGAACACAGCTTCCGACTTGATCAACACCATTTATCCAAAGCTCCTGGAAAGTTGCATGGCTTCTGACTGTTGCTACAATACTTAGCAAGACAAATGTAATATCTGAACTTCTCATGATGATTGTTGTATCGCCTGCACAACCTTGATTCAAGACAATGTTCTGAAAATATATGAAGATCCACACTTGGGAATCAGCATTTTAATACCACATGCCAAGAACTGCTTCTTTATTCCACGAGACTATAAAACCGTTATTAGCTTCAATATTAATTAAGTCAAGACTGCCAAGTCTGGAGTACACCAAACAAATCCGGGGAAATGTGTGGTCGGTCTGTGAATTAGTTCATAACTTCATATTTGCCTGAATTACCGAACGGCAGTTGCGGTCCGGACGCTTTTGTAGCAGGAAATGTGTGTCATCATAAGATGATTAAGTTCACCGCAAGTGCTCATCTGACAGTGTCATAATCATTCAAGGGAAACATGCTTCCTTCCAAATAGATGACGGGACGAGCCAAGAACAGGAGCCAAGAATGATGAATTCGATCTCCGGAGATAGGTGCAAGTTTTTCGCTCCAATCCATTCAACGAAAGACTGGCATTGATATCACATCATGAAATACATTGGAGGAATTATTGAATGCAGAATAGATGGAATTTTTAGAGTTAGCTTGCCAAGAATCGTTCTCATCATTCCGTTGACGACTCACTTGCGAATTCGTCAAAAGCTTCAACGGAGTGCCGGGATTGAAGAGGGGATATGCTCTCAGGATCTAGTTCATTTTTGTGTCTATACCTAATGTAAACAAACGCCATATTATCGCATCATATTTCACTTGAAGATTCTAAATATCCAGACAAAACCCCTTTGTTGCATATCTGAAATATCTTCCGATAAGCCTTTTGGAGGTCTAGAACTAGTATTACTACCCTCCATATCTTGGTTCGACTTCTGGCTGAGATATAGAGGATCATGCAGTCACAACACAATAGTATTTTTACTATTTTGGAAAACTATTCCAGGATGTAAAGCCTAAATTGATGAGCTCAACTTACCCTTCAGACTAGTATATAAGGATTTACTTTGCGGCACTATGATCTCATTTTTTCGTTGCCTAGATGACTACGAAACATAGAGGGTTATATCTGAAAGATTTTCTAGGCGTAGTCTGATGTAAATCTTCCATAATGAGTAGGCGATTAGGAGGATATCATGATATCCAGGGTAGCCCGGGGTATTTGCCGACGTGCAAAGATACTTTTCACTGTAGATTCGACCAATCGGAGCTATTGAATTGTCGAAAGGAGGGCACTGGAAGTTTCTTATCATTCGATTATGCTTACACTCACAAGTATGAATATGAACATGATCACTAGTACAAAAGCAAAGATACATTGCTCTTTTACTTGCTGTCCATCAATGGGTATGTGTGCTATTGCCAAACGGCATGTAGTACAAACAAAATCAGGAAGCCCCCTATTCGTCTAAAGCGTGTTTTTATTGCTTGCATTTCAGCACTTCGCTTCATGGAAGGGAAGACGCATCGGAAGTGACATAAGGTGGTTGAGTGGAAGTGGAAGAGGAAGACAGAAATGGAGTTAAAGGCTTTGACTCGTGGATTAGACTATTTTCTCTACGTTCCTCCAGCGAGCCGAGTCTAGACCCATGGCATGGCTATGACTCTCTTCGACACTAAAAGACGTTTCGAATCTTCTTCATCGAGTATCGTAGAGAGAGGTTTCAACCGCGATTTCTGCATGTTGATAAAAGATCTCTAGACAGAAAAAGATAATTAGGGTCCCATAATTGACATTTCCGTCATCCACGCCTGTTGTGCAAATCACAACAAGTCGATAGTTCACTGTGCTATTTCCACCTCGAAATTTTTGGATATTCTACAATTGTGCTTTTTCATTATCTCCTCCATTTTCTTCTTCCACGCTCTACTCACTAATTTTCTATGCAGCAGCATCTCCACTCCCCTTAACATGAGCAGATAAATCACTCTCGTTCCCTTTCTTAACTCGAACATCAAGAGGAACTTCTAGCTTTTGCCAAATACCAGAAGCCTCCAGGGGACTTCTAGTTTTGTAGTATGTCTTATCCGGAATATTTAATGGAGCTTCGATCTTTTGTCCAAAGGCAAATCTTTTGAAGCCCCTTCTGACTACTTCCTCGGTATCGTTCTCCTCCATTCTCTTTGCGACCGTCTCTCTTGCCATCTTAAGTCGCGCTTCTGCTTTTGCAGCTTCTTCTTTATCGGCTGCAATAACTTTTGCTGATTCCCTAGCTCGCTCCTTGACAATGTTGCTATACTTGATATGCATGGGAGCCATACCCTTTGGCGCATTTTTAATGATCCAACCGTTGTCTAAATCGATGTTAGTGTCAAAGCCGAGCTCGACACACTTCAACATGATAGGACGTATGTTGGGCTGTCTGACTACTGCCCATAATAAGTTATCCAAGAGAATTCGACGAGTCAATGTTTCGTCGACGGATTGTATAACTGCACAAGCTTCGTCGAATAACAGTCTGGCTTCTGTGACCCGCTCCTCAGTTGAAAAGATCTCACCCATCATGCAATTGAACGCAACGGTGAGAGGATAAATGACAGCCCGTGCAACTAGCTTCTTGAGTTTATATCTCTCTAATCCGCGCCTATCGATTCTTTCTGCGCCAAATAGGGGTGCATCCATTATCCTGTTAACAAGGCAATCCACATCCTGCTCTCTCTTCTCCACTTCACCTGGAGTCATACCATCGTCATAGGTTCGTGCGAGTGGACCTAGAAGGAGCTTCCCTCTGACTATCGGGATGGAACGGAGCGAGTCCCAAATTCCTGTAATCGAAGTTTCTCCCACTGCAAGGTCGAGGCGTCAGTATTGCGTATCAAGGACAGAATCCGGAGTAAAATGGGTATTAAAGCTTTCCGAGAAAGCAAAGAGTATATAGGGTGAAATCGGGGAACAGAAGTAGGGGAAAAAAGTGGAAACATTGAACCTATACTTACTGTGTGTGGCATTAATGCATTCAACGAAATTTGGTCGTTTCGATATATCTGGAAAAACTTGGTCGTATAGATCTTGAACCAGACCAGGGTTATTTCCTATTATCACCACAACAGAAGAGGGATGAAGCCTGTGTTTGATGTTTTTGAAAAATTTAATCAGATCTCTTGGCCGTTCACCGTAGATCAGATAATCAATAGGGTCAGTATTGATTTTGGCCATGTGAGTTACAGGCACAACTTTGAGGTCCGAATCTTTTGGTGCTGCTCGAATTTCTACAACATCTTCCTTCTCCACAGGTTTTCCCTTTCCATGTTCACAAAATGTTGCGTTCAATTCAAGAAAATAAGATAAATCGCAGACCTTCATATCCGAGATTGGCAATCGCGCCGCTTTGTGTGCTCTTTTTTTCGGGTCAAGAGTATGAATAGCATTATCAAGTAGTGAAGAGACATCATCAACTAATAGATCATCTTCATTCGGAGCAGTATTCATCAATAAACGTTTGTACCTTAAGTTCTTGGCAGGAGGGAATGTTCCATCAGGAACAGAGTATTCCATTGAGAAAGGAAGAACTTCCATATCGACAGCTCCTACCATGGTAGTAGCAATGCCATCTTTGATAATTTGAATCTTGCCGTCCGTATCCACATATTGCCGAATATAATCGTTATTTGATACCATCAAGGTTACTGGATTCCTGAGTGGATTTTTTGCAGACTGAACGATACCATTGGCAATCAACGTCTGTAAACGATGCGCACCAGCAACATGTATAGGTTTTCCTCTTGGAATTGTAGAAATATATCGTGACTGCTGGTGGTACAACAGATTTCTGGCTTGCTGAAACTGGACTATTGAGGCTAAAGGTTTTGGCAGCGGTCCAACCCTCCAGAGGCTTTTGGTGATGAGTGACATGATGTATGTACCCGATTGGAGGTAGCGCCGTTACCTGTGGAGGTTTTGAATCTTCTTAGATCTTTGGATCTTTAAATCTCTCATTGATCAAATTGATATTTCTACTCTGTTATTTGTGTTCCTATGCTCACCCCCTGTCACTATCACTGTCACATATCCTAAGGCATCACTGCATAAACAGCACGTGATGTAGTTCATTCTACATTGGTGACTTAATTTAATCTCTTGAGGACTTGGATCTAATTATTGAGTTCCCTTTATTAGGCGTTCCTCGAACTTCCCGTACTTCAACATGAACATCATCATATTCCAGAGCTACATGTTGAGCTAAATATTAGGATTATTAAAACTACCGTATATCTACCTAATCTAGGTACGCACGTACGAGCGTGCTAATTAACATTGCGGGGAAACGCTAGTCTAGCATTCATGAACCTCCTCCGCAATCAGGGACACTTTGAAGATATAAAGCAACTTGTCGAGTAGCCGCCGTTAGTGAAAAGGAAAGAGTTCTTTGAGATTGAGGGAAAGGGATATTAGTGATTCGCAAACACTTGAGGCTGGAGAAATTCCCAGGCAGTATTACCTAAAAGGAAGAGCGTACACGGCTAATCCTTCTCCATATATGAGATTACCCATGCAGACTACCCTGTCTATTTACCCTTCTCAGATTCCGATATTGAAGCGCTTAAAGCTTGGCTGGAAACGATTGAAACCCTTCCGATCCCCTGTCGATTGTTCAGTCTTTGCCCAGCTTTCGCAATTCCACACATGCAAGGAACTCGGGTAGCTTAAGATTCTTAGGGTTGGAGCGGAATGGGGAAACATAACCTGGTTATTGTCCATTATAATTCTTCCACCCCACGCCACCATTTCGGACTGCTGTTACCCATCATCTTGACGGGATCGAACACAATACAGACATCCATTGTAGTCTTATGTGGGTAGTACTGCGTACGAGTTTATGAGGCGGATGGATAGCCAAACAAGCATGGGTAGACCAATGATGGTAGGCTATGGACAAGGCAGTGATTTAATTGCCATACACCAACAGTTGGTTTCTGCATATCCGGACCTTCATCACCAATAATTAGTTTTATACCTATCTTTCATTCATCATCATCCATTTTGCCTATTCACGTTTCAAGGGTTTTTATCCAATTAGCAATAATCTAACAACGGTTCCGAATAAAAGCCTCAAGCATTATTCGGAGCATAGATAGATAAGCTTTAGTCTTTGGACATCTCCAAGACACATGATGAATACTCCCGTTTATTGTTACACAGGTGATGGAGTGTGGGAGTGCAAAGCTAATGGTTCATCCGTTTATCCCTGTTAGAAACCTCCTGCAGGACATAAACAAATTACGTTATTGGGTCGCCACAGATATAGGTTTGCCCCTCATCCTCCAAATCGAAGAGTTAGGGCATATGTTGAGCACCGACGGCACGGTACCTTATAATTTCTCCCTCGTATAACGCAAGTCGTTTGGATGAGAGGTAGCACAGAAAGCTCGAATCTCGATTGATTTCTGTGAACAATCACGGATTCTCTTACAAAGCGGCTATTCTCGCGCTCGATTAGCCCACAGGACTTCTTCAGATTATTCTGATAATATCTCTATCTTTCGAGGTGCTGCAGTCTTTACAATATGTTCGTTTCATAAATATCTTTATCAGCGGAGCCTTTCATGATAAACATTACACCTTCACTTTACCGAGTCTGGTTGACTTGTGCGATAAACACGCAAGCTATACAATACTAGAAAGTCTAACGTAACGCTCGATATTGAGAATTATCCTACTGATGGTTTCAAAACTTCATTTGAGAGCTTCATAATCGTCACTTACAGTCACCATCTTTCCAACCATGTTTCTAATATTGTTTGGACTACTCAGTCTTGTCAACAACATCGCGCTCGCGTTAATGGTTACACCGGATTCACCATGCATGTCTTTATGTAGTGATGGTCAGGGCTCGGATAGTATTGATGGAAGTGAAATTGTCTGCCAAAATGAACATTTCATGACCACTACAGCTGGCCAAAAATTGAAATCATGCCTCTCTTGCTTGCAGTTGAGTACTGCAGCTGGTAACGGCCAAAATGATCAACACAGCTTTATGTGTAAGTTTGGTTTGGTCATGACTTTTTGAAAGTCACTTGTGTACTAACGCCAGGTAGATAATATTCGTTATACTTTGGCATCATGCTTATATGAATTTGCCAATGCTACAGATATAATAGCGACACCGTGCTCTACCTCAAAAGCTTGTGGCCCATTCCAACTAGCGATTGAAGATGGAAACTTCATCACCAAAAATGAAACAGCTTATGGATATTGCTCGGCAAACTACAATTCTATTTTGAGTGGCGGCACTTCCGCATGTAAAAGTTGTCTCCAATCTGGTAACACAGAATCCTATCTCTCAAATTGTGAGTTCTGTACCTTGCGTTATGGCCACCAAATACTAATTAACCTAGTCCTGATAGCTCTCCAGGCAGGATGTCACCAACAGCCCCCGGACGGGACTATCATTGGTCTTAATGCCTCCGTATTCTCTCAATATGCCATCACCGAAACATCCCCTGGGCAAAGCTACAATACCACCGTTCCCAGTACCACCGCATCCGGAAAAGGTCTATCCAAGCACACAATCATTGGGGTGTCTGTAGGTCTTGGTATTTTCCTCCTCATTACCCTTTTCATTATTTTTACGCTGTGGCGTAATTATATTTCCTTGAAACGTGGACGTGAACGGCATACTCCTTTGGATGAGAGATATGGTGCTTTCAATATCACTGCGCTTAACGAAGGTGCATTCGGAAACCCACAAACGCGATCCAACACCATCACCCTAGCTGCACCTCCACCACCTAGAAAACATAATGATACAAACATGCCACCGCCATTCAATCTTTCAAAGTACCCAAGCGACGATAAAAGTTTGCATAAGCACGATACGATCATTCTCCCAGCTCATCACGCTTACTATTCCCCTTCGATACCTCATTCAAATCCATATACGAGAACAGAAGATACAGTGCCAATAATGCTTCACGAGGAAGCGTCCTCACCGTATTTGTATCCTCATTCGTCTACCACACAGACTCCAATTTCTGGTCCTCCGAGAAATTTTTCACCGCCAACACAAAATCTGGCGCGGATATCGGAGAATAATGAGGGTGTAAATTCTTACAACCGGGAAAAGGCTCAAGATAAGAGGATGGTAAGAAATATAGACAGAGACAGGGATGTGAGTATAAATTCAGACGTAACGATGAGTTACGCGAGAGCCGCTATCGATGGCACGCAGAACAGTGGAATTGGTGCTTCCTCTCTTGCTCCGAGCGCACGAGACATTGAAACAAGGTTAGATAGTGGTGGAGAGGAGAGAACGAAAAGTCCCCTCGAAGGGGAAGATATTGGATATATGAGGGAGAAGGAAAGGCAAAGGAAGAAGAAAAGAGTACCGAAGAGGATGTCGGTTATTGACGACCAGGATCAGAATCAGGATCAGGATCAATGGCCTGGAGAATTCTGAAGAGCCGACAATTGATGAGATATGTGATGATTAAATGATACCCGGTCTTTCGTCTTGTCATCACTATCTATATTTTTTTAAAATATAATTTCTTTGGACGTGTATGTGTTTCTGATTACCTCGCTATTGGTAGCTGGGAAAAGCGGGATTGATATCAGCTGGCTTGGTATCTGTTTCCTTGCTTCGGGCCTAAGATGGCGATAGGTGTTTAGGATATTGAAATCCATTTGGTAGATCAACTATACATATTTATACCAAATCAATTCAAATCGCCAAGATTGTCAGAAAAGTATGACTGAGCATGCGTTCCTTTTTTTTGGTCTATACTCTGCTATCTGCACAATGCCCTTTCACCTCATCTAACTCAATCTAATACTCAACCCCCCAAACTTCGGTTATAACTCAAATTCAGAGTATGCAATACCAAATACTCAATATTCTCAAACCAATCATGTATTTCCTGCGCCAAATACTCCGGCTACACGCTAGGATATCTCCCTCCTTTTCCCTTCTCAGCGCTTTCGCGGAGAATTCCTTGAGTGAATCATAACTTCTATCAAAAGCGCACAAGTCAGGTAGGCGAATTCAAAAGGTAAGCGGTTCCTTTTATATCACATAGTATATATAACTCTTTAGTTATTGTTTCGTGTGGTGTTGATTATATGTTCAGATAGTTCCTTTTTCAATATCAATACTGATGTTAATATCAATGATAAGTTACTACACCATATTATGTATTACTATGTTATATTGCATATAACACTTATCACATCATCAGGATATTCCTGCACTCTAGTCCTTGAAACTTCTCAGAATCACAATTTGAAAGTATAAAAATACATATATAAAAACTATATTTTTAGAACAACCTTCTCCCTATACTTTCAACCCTCTTCTAATATTCTACAGTCTGTACTCTTCACTTTTCATTTTTATTTCTCATTTTTCACTATTTACCTTTCACCTTTTACTATTCACTCTTTGTTATTCACTCTTTACTATTCAATTCACTATTTATTCTTCACTATCAACCTTTTACTATTTACCTTTCACCCTCTATCCTTCACCGTCATACACCAACATTCACCCTATCCATCTCTCCTCGCACTCAAATCTCACTACCTCAGACTCGCAACTCCTAGCTCCTCATAACCCCAACAGCCAACACCCAACAATCTCCTAAAGCAAATCTCAAGAGATCCACACCCATAAGTTTCATCAAACGAACACTAGGTACATACACTAAAAGACCTTTCCTATGTACCAAAAGACAATTTAATCATACTCACCACTCTATTAAAATTGCCAAAGTACAAACACATGCCCGGGACAAGTCGCTACAGTAGTAGTACACTCATTCACACTCATTTATACATTCCAACATATCTATAACACATCCATCATCCATCACCCATCTCCCATCCATCTATACCTGAGTACCTACCTAATTCTACAAATTCCCCTCAGGTAATCTTCTCCAACTGGCTCGCATAACAATATAAATACCGAAACTCCATACAAGACAAAATCGCAACATGGCAGCTAGATAGAATTAGCGATAATACCTAGGTAGTTACAACAACAGCAATAAGGAGTAACGCCAATACAATAGCAATCCATCACATTGCAACCACAACGACAATGCTCCACGAACAATGACAATGATTGAGACGTGCAACAAAACTTTTGTTACTTTTATACAACAAAAGAAAGGGGGTGTGGTAGTGACATCATTTGGTACAAAGGGATTTAAGTTTAAGATAAGGGTTTAGTTACTCCATATTCGCGACGTTTAGTTTTCCTAGTCACTCTTTTATTTGGCTGTTGGGTGCACGATATATATAGCTATGTTGATATTGATAAAAGACGGTAGGTATGACTCTTCACCTTATGACAACTCCGAGATTCGAACCCTGTCCCGGAGACAGAACACACAGGGGAGCGTTATGGCCTGCCGAAGAAGGATAGTTTACAGCTACAGATTTTTAGACCTTGCTATTTAACGTTGGTGGCTTGACCACTAAAAGTCGTGGTACGAAGTCTATTTCAGCCCTGTGGAGAAAGACATGCAACATAGGATTCTGTTCTGGATCACGGGATCGGGATCTTCGGGATTGGTCTGTGGTGATGAAGAAAGATATGGAGAGATAGATATCGGATATAAGAAGATCTGGGTCTCACTCAAAGTATCTTTGTGGATCTGGAACGCACTTGCAGGATGTCCTACTTTCCTGATGATTCCGTTCTTTAGAGTATTGGCACCTGGTGTTTGTCCTACATAGCACTAGCAATAGACAATGAACAGTTTACGCATGCATATATGGACAACACTACCGCCGAAATCCCCCGAATATATCTCTGCACTAGCTCCATCAAGGACTTCCTTGGCACATAGTCAGCAACAAACGTCATGCCTTAGTATCACATCAAAGTAATCTCCAAAACAACGTAACATCCACCAAACATAAGCATCGAAAGAACGTTCCATCCTAAATGAGCTTCATCCAAGCTACACAGACACAGCCACAGCCACATCCACATCCACATCGAAAGATTCAATTGCAACGTACTCGGCACGACCGAAATTGTCGGAGATGCAAGACGCGAGGAAGGACATATATTTGGATCCCCAATTCTTGGTATCATATGCCTGCCTGCCTTTACTCTTTCGTCTGACATAAGCCACCGACCAACCCATAGAGCTGGTTCAGAGACTCCACATCTCGACTGACGCTTTGCCAACCGTCTGGATTGCGTGGGAGCGGGGATAATTCTCGAACTCGTGGGTCAGATGGCGCTAGCTTATTCGGGTGTATTCCGATGATGAAATCTCTAGACTCTTTTTTCGGATAGAGCGGACAATGGAAGAGACCTCAATTCCGAGATATGTATACTTACATTCGTTCCTTGGTTTCCGAAGAGCTTATATGAGGAACCACTTGTCCCATTATAAGCCCCCGACGATGCCGGATACCAGTATCCTTCACATGAGCATTCCATCTCTATCCCATCGGAACATATCATGCCGTTGCTTTCCAAACCCACTATGACAATACCGGCAGGCTCGAAATTGTGAATCTCCCCTGCGAAAGAAACGATAAGTGTCCGGATACCGTAAGCGGAATCTCACACATTTCCTCGCCGAGGTGAGTTCAGCCTTATGGAATTTCGGCGCGCTGATTGATGGATCTTCACAATCGGTAAGATAAGTAGATTGATTATGCAATGGAACTAGGGCGCAGGTGGGTTGGTGTGTCAGGCACGCTTGTCAGCGAGATGCTTTTACGATGGAGATGGATGGATGTACTACCGGTCGAAATCGGGAGGGGGTGGGGAGCGAGAGAGGGAAGTATAGAGAGTGAGCATGTGATCGGAAAATAGATTTCCTTTTCCCGGTATCCGATCGGGAGGAAGACTTCCTTAATTCCCGATGGGATTCATTTTATTTGTGTGAGACATGGGAGATTTTGATGTGCGTAGTCCGGTTGTCTGAGTGGGGGATCATTATTTCAATGAATGATCATCACATGATACATGATATTATTACAATATCCACATAACAAACAGCTAAGCCATGCCGAGTCCAGTGCGCTTCTCTCCATAAAAGCAAACAAGCAAATCACTTTCCTAATTTATTAAATATATTAAAATATATTCACACCAGCCAACTTCTGATACTTGGACGCAGGCAGGTAGGTATCAGCAGTGAGCACGCACCGCAAAATGCAGATCACCACCACAAACAACAACAACAACAACAACAACAACAACAACAACAACAACAACAACAACAACAACAACAACACACGACCAAAGCTTTTACCCTCCTGCTTTTTGCATTAACCCCCCACAGACAGATGAAAGATATCCCAATTCAATTGCAAATACCCACTCGCTCCTCCATCACCAACTTCTCACGTCCCCAACCACCATCCACCCTCTTCACCGTGCGGTGTGAGTATGAGTACTTCGTATGAGTGTGTGTATTCCCCCAAGCCAATAAAAGGATGATTGCAACCCCCCATTCCTCACCGACTACAAGCCACACAGGCGCATGCCCATCCATCACGACCCTCCAATAAAGCTTTCTTAAGTTACCCCACCTACACACCTGTAAACTTCATGCACGCACTTTCCGCGTATGCCAACCAACCAACCCCTCCAACTCCGTGCCCCTCTCACCGTATCGACCGAACATCGTCTTTTGCCCACCCAGATGCACATATGTATGTATGTACAATGTACATACACCCACTCACTCCATCTACCCACATGAAAGCGAACATATAGGCGATATTCAGACGATATAGGCACATTTGAATATACGGTGTGTTTGAACCTACTGTTCACTAACAAAATTTCCTCCCGTCTCCCGTTCACCGGTACTTGGAGATGAATATTAGTTGTCTGGATTGCAGTACATTCATTACATACAGTAAGTACCACAATGTAATGCGCATGCACGTGTTGGCCAACACATGGACTCTGCAATTTATCTGATTCCATCTACCTATCCATCGATCATGCACCCAGTACAGCAGCAGATGTGATTTGTTCAATTCAAGCTTGACCGATTACCATTTTTGCTTGCGTGCGCATATTGCGATGTTCCCTCAACGTGTTTTTTTCTTCTTCTCGAATAAGTTGTGATGTGAGTTTTACGTCCAGTAGGTATGCACTACCTACCGGTAGTAGGTATCGAGTAGCTCGAATGGAATATACCTGATATGGTTATCCGGATCATGTGACGATATGATGATGTTCGAGGCGTTCTAAATTTACACAATGTAAGTCTTACATTTCCATGAAAGACAAACCAATGAATGAATAAATAAACAAAATAATAATCTCTTCCTATCTAGATACCTATACCTACTCTCTAGAACAATATCTAAAATGCATCCATCTACTTCTCCAACTCCATCTCCCAACCCCTCACATACAATTCCAGACATGCAAAAGTAAAAACCATCAAAAACCATCACCCATCGCCAATCGCC